TGCAGAAACTGTTTTGAACATGTCACAATTCAGAAAAATGAACGACACCCTTTTTAAGCCTTGGTGCATCTCCTTTCAACCGCCAGATTACCCTGTGTAACCCCCTCATTTTTTTTAATTCTTTAAGTATTGATGAAAATTTTGCTACTGTCCTTGTCAACAAAGAACAAGAAGGAAGTAGGCATTGAACAGAGAATGTTCTCCCTCCAACTGCAACTATGGTGTGTCTCTCTAATGGATTTTATTGAGTTAGGTCTGAGAGAAAAATGCCAAAGCATGATTTAAAAATGCAGCAAGACTACAAAGTTTTATCTACAAACGAAAAGGAAAAGAAAAACACGCATATACACACACAAACACCATCTCAAGGCAAGGTCACTTCCTTAAGCTAAACTTCTTCTGGTCAGCACGCATGATCTATCTATCATTCAGACTGCTTGCTTTTAGGAAAGATTTCATATGATGTACATACCAGAAAAGATACGGGATCAGAATGATACTGCGAGACTAGGTCATCCTAGCCTTCAGACATCCATTCCGTCGAGAACTTCAACATTAAGCTTAAATGTATTCTACGTATTTCTTTTTTTTAAAAAAAAAATTGCTTCGATTGGTGCCATATTCTAATCAATATCAGGAAACGAACAGTTTTACGGTATACAAGTAAATTATTTTTCGTGGAGCTTGTGACTAACATATTGCATATTCATGCTCTCAATAAAGGAAAATAGATATAAATGAGCCAATGGCACCTTGAATCAAAAATGAAAACAAAGGATTTTATTCTATACCCTCTAATCATTAACTTTTCTCACATTTAACAAAACATTTGCTAACCTTTCACGGTAGTTTCTTCAAAGTGGCAATCATGTCGGTGCTTGTAGGTCGAACCCTCCAGCCAACTCTCCGTTAACAATCGTAGTTTCTCCTAATTTCTCTGCAACCACCTCTGTTTTCCACCTCTTTCTCCTCGCACTTTCTTCAGATTTTTCAATCTCTCAGTCTCTTATTTTCGTCTCCCTCTTCAATTTCTCCATCTACGCTCTCAATTTTTCTTCCTAAGCCAGGAAAAAGAAACTTCTCCGAATCTTTTTTATAACCAAATTTCACTATCGATTCTCCAATCACTCTAATTTTCTCCTTTTCTAACTTCCTCTCCCCCAACCTGCTTTTCGATCTTTCTTCACTAACCCAGAAGCTTCTTGAAATCTCTCTTTTTGACTCCTTCCCTCTATATGCCCGATCTCTCTGGCTTTCCTCCAACCCAGTACCCAAATTCCCCCCCTTCTGCTCCAAGAAAAATCCCTCTCGGTTCTCCTTACAGGCGTTTAACTGCTCCCACAGCCGTTGAGGTGCCTCGAGTCTACTTCCTCGCTGCTTTTTCTCTCGATCAGGACGCCTCAAGTTCGTGTAAGTTCTTTCGGCGTTTTCTGCTTCCTTGAACGCGTCACCCTCTACTTCACTTCCATTATCCCCTCTTGAGATCATGTCTCTTGCTTGTCGTTGCAACAGCCATCAATGCTTCGCCACCGTCTAATTTCCTCATCTGTTCTTACTCGAGCCCCGTCTCGGTCTAGACGTTCTATTTTGCTTTTACTGTGGTTGTCTGCTTTCTTTAATTCTTTTTTCAGCTTAAGGAAGCAAGAGCCTTTGATGAGTTAGGGCCCAAGGAGTTTGAAATTTAATGGGCTGCAGAAAACCTTGACTTGCTCTCAAGCTTTTGAGCCTTTTTTTTTCTATAAAAAAAAAATCCAAATTTAATTGATTATCCTTTTATAATTTTCTCATGCAAATTTTTTATATATTTAAAACAGATAAGATTATAAAATATTGATCACTTTTCTATTTATGCATTTATAAAATAATTAAGTAAATATTAAAATTACTAAAATTTTATCCTAAAAAAAATATCACACTCTCTTATTTCTTAAAATTTTCATTCTCATTTTCTTTATTTTCGTTTTTTTTTCTCCCCATGTTTTTCTTATTTTTCTCTCATTTATATATTTTTCAAATTTAAATATTATAGTAAGTTATATATTTCATTTGGATTCACTTTCATAATACTGTTAAATGTGTTCCATATATTATAGCGTAATGTGTCCTTTTTTTTTTTTCCATAATCAACTCTTACATTAATGCATGTAATATTTTTCAGATTGTAAAGAACTAGAACATCAATTTTCTCTTAAGTTATACAAAAATATACGAAATTTTTCATTAAGTACTTTTGTTATTCAAAGTTCCTCTTGAACTTTCAAAAAAATGACAAAATTTCCCATATTTGTTAATTTTCTCTAACAACATGGACTCTCGTTGCCTTAACAAATGACGTGACTTGTCCATTTTAAATCTATTTTAAATTTATTGACGTGGCATCCATGTTAATACCCTTATGTTTGCAACGTTAACAATTATTTTAATCTCTTTTATCCTACTGTATCGAGCTCTTTTTTTTTGCATCTTATTTTTTTTCTTTATAGAGCATTCCATATGTCTTAATTCGAAGAACTTCCTTAATCTCTATACCCTAAATTGTTCATCTTCTTTGTTCCTTCTTCATAACATTGTCTTCTTATTAATGTCCACGCCATGCTTGCTTTTATTGATGCATACACATCTTCCTTTCTGCATGCAGGCCAGGGTTACTCTCGTTTTTACCCAATCACATGAGCTTTCCTCCTTCATAGCATTGACACCATTGCCAAGGTAAGCTTTCTCTTTTACATGAGGCATTTACCACTAAAAAAAAAAATTAGCTTGTTTCTATAAACTTGAGACACCATCTAGTTGATAGATTCATATAATCTAGTTGAGACGTCATGTTTAATAAAGTTCAAAGTATTTTGAAGTT